GAATAAAGTTTTGGGTTATTTTTTTATTTCTTTTTCCAAGTGATCGATTTTATTACGTGATAAGCCAAGATAACAATCTTAACTTGTTAATGAATAATGATTCCAACAAAGTCCGTGTACTTTCAGTAATGAAAACAGTGAAAAAAGCAGCGTGTTTATTTTGCCCGCAAGATTCTTTTGAACGAGGCACCCCCCCCCCTCCCTCCCCCCGAACTCTATAAACACCGTTAGTATTGAGTTTTTATTTTTCATAAATTTATTTTTCAAACTTATTCTGACACGTACGAGGGTTGTTCGGAAAGTTCTTGGACTTCTGTCATATCTTTTTTTATTTAACGTCATATGTTATCCAAATTTGGTAGAAATATTTTAACAATAAATTTAAATGATTTGTATTAAATTTTTCAAAAATATCGTGATTTATTTAAAACTTATCCAGAATTAAAAACTGCAAAAATCGGATGGCGGCGCAGGTCAAAATTTAGTAATTTACAAACAATACACTAAATAATGTCTGTAGTCATCTTCTCTGTAAAATGGAGTAAAAACGAAAAAATCCTAGACGGTAAAATTAGGAACTGTTACATCGATTCGTATTCCAAATTATGGCTTAATATTTTGCTTCGGTAAAAAGAAATCAATTTGAGAAGATAGGTAGTCCTCATTGAAAACGACAAAAACGATGACGTTGTAGAACATCATGGAGCAGCAGATAACGATGCAGTTTTGTGTTATACTTGGGGATAATCCTGAATAAACGCTATAAATGTTGGTGGAATCAGAAACTATGCCACAAGCGAGTCGTGCATGTGTGTGTAAATGGTACATGCGGTATTTGAGTGACAGAGACTGTATCGGACGAGGACAATCTGTGAAGAAACGGTATAACTGTGAAAATCTGAACAAAAACTTTTAAAAGTTGGGACGTCATGAAAAGACGTAGGCGCTTCAGAGTTGCTGATCTTGTGAAAGCACAGTTAAGCGGTAAAAGAAATTAAACATTAACAAAGGAAATTATAACACGAGAACAATTGTTAGAAAAATAAATGTCAAGTGATTGAAAAAAGTTTTTAATAGGTGGGTATTGGACTATACCGTGTGAATGTATAGGGATAGAATTTTTAAGAAACTCTTGACGCTATGTTTTTGACGTTACATTGCTTTTAAGTGTGCGCCGTTGTTACAAAACATGTTGATTTTAAAATGAAGTAAATTAATTTCTATCAAATCGAATGGAATGAAATTTTACAGATCAACAAAACAAATATTTTTGCAATTGATATTGTGCTTATTTTAAATTTCTTGGAAGTAGTATAACAAAGATTGACATCGTCCACGAACTTTTCGAACAACCCTCGTTCTTATTCTCTACATTTTTTAGATGATATATTTTAAAAAAAAAAGTCTTTTGAAATGAAGCGAAATTATAATATACATGGCAGTCGTAAAGAATGAATTCTTATATATTCAAAGTTCTTTTTTTTTCTCTCTAGATATATATGGAAGAAATGTTAAATCATAACCACTCATTTTGAACTATTCTATACTAAATATACATCATATCATCAACCCAAATAAAGATCACAATGTTTCCGTTTCATCCAATTCCTTATACATGTAGATCGCGAAGTCCTTTAACACACACTTTACATTTCTGCATTTCTGGATCAGAAAAATAAACGTACTTCCTTCTCACTTACATATATGTAATTCTAAACATAAAACTGTTCTGACAATTATTTTTCTGCTAACTTTGTATGGATGTATTATTTTTCCTAGCCCCCCCCCCCCCCGCCTCCTCGTATTTTAGGTAATATATGATCGAGCCTTAATTTCACTTTATCGTACTCAAACAGTGTTCTGCTGGGAATAAATACAGCCCCCTCCCCGATTTGAAGAATTTTGTGAAACGCTCTTTTTAAATTTTTGGTTGTGGTTGTTTTTTTTTTTTTTTTTTAATTTCTGTCAATTATTTTTATGGCTGCCCTCACTTTTTAAAGCGTTGCTCAAAAGCTTGCACTTAGAGATATATAAAGTATATAAAATATATAAAGCCGCTTCTATACAATGTGAGATGAAAATGCATGTAATAATTATTATTCATTTTACATGATATCTGTGGCTAGTATTTGGTATGAATTTATATTTAGCTTAGATTTTTCATTAAAAATTATAAACAAATTGCCTTATTATGAATCCGTGGTATTCGCTTTTAACGAAAATTGGCATACGTACATGCGTATTACTAAATCTTAATATTTACTTTGATATCAAATATAGCGTGTACTTCAAATTTCCGCGTACACGTTTGTTACGTCACTTGTAACTAAACCTCTCTAATAAGACCAATTTAGTCTGTTGAAATCCAGTAAAACGAAATCGATTTTATTTTTACTTTTATAGTGCATATATAGAATAATATTGTAATAATAACAGAAACATCGGCCCCAACGAAGAAAATAAGAAAATAAAAGTAGAAAGTCTGCTATATTTTTGATTTTTTCATACATCAGAACACAGATGTTTATACATGTAACTTAAACTAACATATACGGAGAATTGGATTGTATTGAAGAATAATAATATCGCTAGTTTATAGTCACTACTGATACCGGAAATAATTTAACTAATACAAGTGGTTTATATTAAGATGAAGTAGTCGTAGCTTGCCCCCTGGCAAATTTAAAATTCCGCCGTCTGCAAGTGTATATTTTGAACTACTATTGTTTAATGACTTTTTTTAGATGCATGTTTGTTTTGAGACTGAAATTTTTGTGCTACAAAACGCATTAACTTCTTTTTAAATATTAATTAAAATATACTGGAAATGCTGACTAAATAACCAATTTACATGTAGGTGGAAAAAGGGGGAGGGGGTCTTAATCATATCGATGAATATAAAGTTATTGTGAATAAAGGATTTTTTTCTCTCTAACATTAGACTTTATTTATGAATTGTAGTGTATTACATTTAAATAAATATTTTTTAACAACACTATTATTTTAATTCGCTCCAAAGATATTTAATTAACTGGATATCCGCAGTACTATTTATAATTCTCAGAACTAGTTCTAATAATGTATTTCTATAGTAATTGGAAAAAAAAACGTGTTAGTAATAAATACTTTCGTAATTTTGCTGTAGTTGGTAAATTAATTGACATGGATTATTATCTCTCCATTTACAACTTGTCGTCTTTAACATAACAACAAAATGTTGCAGTGCTTGAACGATAAATGAACGCTGAACGCAATGTGAACGCAAAATGAACGAACGGAGAGCGAACGCGAGCGCACAGTGAACGCAGAACGCAAAACTCTGAAGGATAGCGAACGGTGAACGCACGGTGAAAAAGCGGCGAACGCATGCTGAACGAAAGGTGAGCGAACGTAAAAATGGGACTGTATTGAAGACAGTCAGCTATCTACGTATCCCGGACGGCCTTTCCTCAGTCGTTCGTGACAACAATTCTGCAAAACATCAACACTAAGCTGGTTACTTCGTAACATAAAATGTGTATATATGGAAAGCTCGCGTTCTATAATACTTGGAAAGTGCTGCTAGAATCATGAGGTTAATATGGTTTGAAGAAATATTACGGGATGTATGTATATATTGCAAAACATCGAGTAAGGTTTCGTGCAAATGTGTGGAATAATTATTTTCCCGACAGATCGGTGGAATTCTAGCAGCACTTTTTGGGCATAAGAGATATTTTTCAACTATATTATTTACTCAAAGTTAAACCTCGGGGTAGTGTTTTTCTTTTAACTTTTTCCTAAGAATTTTTTTGCTATTTAAAGCAGTCACGTGATGACGTCGTGGTGGTGCATTTGGCCTCGGACACTTCGTTGTCTTAATGCAATAGTTAATAATAGTTTACATTTTATCGGCGACTTTGATAAATTATCAAACTTAGTGTTCTTAAAAAGTCTAAATTTCCCGAGAAATGATTTGTATGTATTCTTAAAATACCCGCGCAGGTTTTCACTGGAGATGTGATGTATATGGAATATAAGAAATAAAGAGTTCAGTAGCTATCACCGACGTGAGATATTTTGATATGTGTCATAGAACGCAGTGGCAATTATTTATCTTGAAAATTGATGCAATGAACGGTTTAATTTCCCTCTGAAGGTTTGCTCTTACGATTGCCAATTTATATTTTAAAAGGGCTAGAACAAATTATTTTCTTTAAAGGGGGGGGGGGGGTATCTTCAGAAATTGAGAGAAATATTGAAGTCAGGTATCATTACAATAAGCATAAGCTATGTAGAGATTTTTACTGACCTGGATAGTAAAACTTTTGATTATATGTACGCATATAATGTACTTAAATGGTTATTGTATCAACATAGGATATATGAGTTACAAAAGCAAGCGTTAAGTATACACGACATGTAAAACAAAGAATTAACCACATAACGTGTGCTCACATGGGAAAGTGCTCAATGGTCACAAACAATCAAACAGTGTTAACTCGAAAGTTTTTTGTTTGTTTGTTTGTTTGTTTTTTTTAAAGGTATAAATATTTTCCAACAAGTGCTATATATTTTTTTAACTGCAGGCTTGGTATGCAAATTGAAAGAACGAGTACAGTAAAAATGAGTATTGTTTATTCTTTTTTTTTTTGGTTATCCATCTGTTTCAACATTTCACATTGAATTTAAAACAATTAGATGTGATACATGAGAGAGAGAGAGAGAGAGAGAGAGAAAGAGAGAGAGAGGAAGAGAGAGAGAGCAGAAAAAATAGATACCATCTGTTCTATTGCGAAATAAAAAGTTATCCTTTTAAATAAGGTGTGTGTCCTGAATGACCTTGATGTTCATGAACAAAGTTTGTCTTAACAATTTGAATAATAATTAAATTTAGATATGTAGAAAAAGTTTGCTTTTTTAAAACTTTATTATTATTGTCCATTCCAATTTTTGATATTTCAAAGAACAATGTACTTGTAATGTACACTGGAAGTCTAAGAGGAATAAATATTTTTCAGCTTGCAAGGAAAACTTTTACGGCAGGAGCTGCAGTATTCTTTGTGGACATTGTGCGAACAGCGCAAAATGTGATCACGTGACAGGCTCTTGTCCTTCTGGACACTGTGAGCCAGGATATAAATATAATGAAAAGAAATGCGATGAAGGTATATATAACGATAAACTATCTGTGACGCTCATGATATATCATTAGAAAATACGTGTTTTAAATCTGTTCTATATTCTATTTCAGAGTGTGATGACGGTACCTTTGGGTACCACTGTAGGGAAACTTGCAGTGGACATTGTGCAGGAAAAGTGCCATGTAATAAAGCTAACGGTTATTGCCCTGGAAGATGTGCAGATGGATGGATTAATCTTTTCTGCAACGAATGTATGTATTTTGAATATATTTTACAAATATAAACTCTTAATGTTTAGTCATTTTTTTCTCCAGTACATTTTGATGTTTTTTTTTTGTAAACGTAATTCGCGTTGTATCATGTAAATAATGAAAGAGAACATTGGAATAGCAGTCCTTTAAGACAGCATAACCTGATTTTCATGCAGCTTTGCTACATAACATTTTTCTGTTTTCACGATCATGTCAAGGAGCACACGGCGGGTGTGACCGGTCGACAAATGATGCTTACTCATCCTTGGTACCTGATCTCACCTCTGATGTTTGTAGAGTCCGTATTTTTTCTGATCCCAATTTGTATTGTTCCAGTGGACTTTTGTGCTTGATTACTGTTCCGTATCTTCATGTTTCATTTTAGATATATATATATAATTCATAAACATGTAAAATAATTTTATGATAGGGATTTCATTAGACATTTATATTGACTTTGCATTCCATCTATCAATTATACTTAAAAGGTAAACTTACTTTGAGGGTCCATCCTTTTAAACCAAACCACGCCACCACCGCCACCCCAACCATACTCACCCAACCCCCACAAAATGAGATAGCATACACATATATATTTGTTACTTAAACCACCACTTGTCTACATGACTTTCTATCTGCATGCTTTTTAGGTCACCTGAGTCACTCAGGTGACCTATTGCTATCTGTTTTCGTCCGTCGTCGTCCGTCGTGCGTCGTCCGTCGTGCGTCGTCCATCGTCCGTCGGTCGTAAACTTTTGAACATTTTCAGCTTCTTCTCTTGAACCACTGAACCAATTTCAACCAATTTTGGCATATAGCATCAATGGGTGAAGGGGTACAAAAATTGTGAATTTCATGGCCCCTGCCCCCCTGGGGCCTGAGGGGTGGGGCTAAAACCATCAAAATTAGTGCTATCTTTAAAAATCTTCTTCTTTACTCCTGGACATCAAGCAGTCAAACTGTTGGCATGATTGTAATAAGCATTGAGCCCTCTACCAAAATTGTGAAATTCATGGCCCCAGGGTCAGGGGTTCTGGTGCTAGGGCAGGGCTATATAGATCATATAGTGAAAGTGCATTATTTCTTTGAAAATCTTCTTCTCTGCTCCTGGGTATTATTGAAACAAATTGAATACATAGTTATGATAAGCAAGGGTGATACTACCAAAATTGTGAAATTCATGGCCCCAGGGTCAGGGGTTCTGGTGCTAGGGTGGGGCTATATAGATCATATAGTGAAAGTGCATTATTTCTTTGAAAATCTTCTTCTCTACTCGTATTATTTAAACAAATTAAATACATAGTTATGATAAGCAAGAGTGCCTCTTCCAAAATTGTGAAATTCATGGCCCCAGGATCAAGGGTTCTGGTGCTAGGGCGGGCTATATAGATCATATAGTGAAAGTGCATTATTTCTTTGAAAATTTTCTTCTCTACTCTTGGGTATTATTTAAACAAATTAAATACATAGTTATGATAAGCAAGGATGCCTCTTCAAAAATTAAGAATTTCATGGCCCCTGGATCAGGAGTTCTGGTGTTAAGGGGGGGGGGGGGAGGGGGGCTCTATTTATTATAGAGTGAAAATGCATTTATGTTTAAAAATCTTCTTCTCTTCTCCTGGGTATTATTTAAACAAACTAAGTAAATTGTTATGATGAGCAAGGATGCCTCTTCCAAAATTGTGAAATTCCTGGCCCAAGGATCAGGGGTTCTGGTGTTAGGGTGGGGATATATAGATCCTATAGTGAAGGTGAATTATTTATTTGATAATCTTCTTCTCTGCCCCTGGGTATTATTTTAAAAAATTAAGTACATTGTTATGATACACAAGGATGCCTCTTCAAAAATTGTGAATTTCGTGGCCCCAGGGTCAAGGGTTCTGGTGAAAAAGGGGGGGGGGGGGCTCTATTGATTATATAGTGAAAAAGCAAAATTTCCTTGAAAATATTCTTTTCTTCTCCTGGTTAAAAAGCAAAGAAGCTAAGTGTATAGTTATGATGAGCAAGAATCCGTCTTCCAGAGTAGTGAATTGCATGACCCCTGGGTCAGATGTGCTGGTGTAAGGGTGGGGCTCTTGATAATATAGTGAAAATGCATTAATTCTATTAAATAATCCTGTCTGCTCTTAGTGTTAAGCAGATAAACAAAGTGATTACTTATGATGGGCAAACTTCTGGTCCCAGGGTGAGAGGCTCTGGTGTTTCTCGCTGGGGGGGGGGGGGGCTCTATTGATAAGTTTGTTAATATACTGTATGGTGATAGTGATAAATGGGGAACAGATTAGAACCTAATTTATGAACTGTTAATTAATACTAGATTAATTATTTTGTTGATTCTGATCACCCTATTTTTCTTGCTTTTGGGTAACAAAGCTTCACCTTTCAGTTCATTTTATACTCTATGGATCCTCTAAATTGTTGCATTATACTCAGGTGACCGTTAAGGCCCTTGGGCCTCTTGTTTATAATTGAGGAGTATCAAGATAAAATAACATGACAAACCTTATCATTTTTTTTAAATGCAAACTGTTCGTAAAAGCTCTACAAAAGCATTTTATATTTCTAGACATCTGTGTTACCGGTAAAAAAACGATCTATTTGATCCTTAAGTGATTTCTAGTTTAATATAATTTCCCATAATATAATTTGATGAGTGCAAAATGTATATGAATTAGACAAGGTCTAAGTGCGATCGAAATTGAATCTGGGAATTATCTTTTCTTGTTCATTGAAACATGTTTAAATAGATGCATAAAAAGCTGCTTTTGCATATTTTATTGAGAAAGAAAACAACGAACTACAAATAAAAAAAAAATAAATAAAAAAAAAAAAAAAGGAAACAGGTTCAAACAAACAAGCTAAAGTAAAAGCAAGAAAATGAAAACCAAAAAAGATCACAAAACAGGTTTTCACTGGAGATGGTAGGAAATAAAGAGTTCAGTAGCTATCATCAACTTAAAAAAATTTTGATATATGTCATGGAACGCAGTAACAATTATATATCTTGAAAATTGATACAACTGATGCAACTAACGGTTTCATTTCTTTTCGGACGGTTTGCACTTACGATTGCCAATTTATATTTTAAGAGCGCTAGAACATTTTTTTGAAAGGGGGGGGGGCGGGGGGGGGGGATCTTCAGAAATTTAGGAAAAAAATGAAGTTAGGTTTTATAACAACAAATATAAGATCTGTAGAGTTCTCGACTGACCTGGATAGTAAAACTTTTGATTATATGTACGCATATAATGTACTTAAATGGTTATTGTATCAACACAGGATATATGAGTTACAAAAGCAAGCATTAAGTATACACGACATGTAAAACAAAGAATTAACCACATAACCTGTGCTCACATGGGAAAGTGCTCAATGGTCACAAACAATCAGTTTTAGCTCGAAAGTTTTGGGGGTTTTTTTAAGGATAAGGTATAATAATATGTCAAATTATTTTCCATCAAGTGGTACATATCTCTTTAACTGCAGGCTTGGTATTTAAAATAAAAGAACGAGTACAGTAAAAATGTACATTGTTTAAACTTTTGTTTTCTTTTTTGTTTGAACATCTTTGTCAACATTTCACATTAAATCTAAAGCATGATGTGTTACATGAGAGAGAGAGCAGAAAGAGTAGATTCCAGCTGTTCTATTGCGAATTTAAAAGTCATCCTCTTTAATTAAGTGTGTGTCCTAAATGACCTTGATGTTCCTGAACAAAGTTTGTCTTAACAATTTAAATAACAATTAAATTTAGACATGTAGAAGTTTGGTTTTTTTTACTTTATTATTCGGAAATTATTGTCCATTCCATTTTTTTTATATTTCAAAGAAAATGTACTTGTAATGTACATTTTAAGACTAACAGGAATAAATATATTTTTCAGCTTGCAAGAATGGCTTCTACGGCAAGAACTGTAGTCTTCCTTGTGGACATTGCTTAAACAACACAAAATGTGATCACGTGACAGGCTCCTGTCCTTCTGGACACTGTGAACTAGGATGGAAGAATACATATGGAAGAAAATGCGATGAAGGTATATATAACGATAACCTATTTGTGACGGTCATGATATATCAATAGAAATATGTGCTTTAAATCTGTTCTATATTCTATTTACAGAGTGTGATAACGGTACCTTTGGGTACCACTGTAGGGAAACTTGCAGTGGACATTGTGCAGGAAAAGTGCCATGTAATAAAGCTAACGGTTATTGCCCTGGAAGATGTGCAGATGGATGGATTAATCTTTTCTGCAACGAATGTATGTATTTTGAATATATTTTACAAGATATAAACTCTTAATGTTTAGTCATTTTTTTTCTCCAGTACATTTTGATGTGTTTTTTTTTTTTTTTGTGAACTTAATTCGCGTTGTATCATGTAAACTATGAAAGAGAACATTGGAATAACAGTCCTTTACGACAGCATAACCTGATTTTCATACAGAGTTGTGCTACATAACCGTAAAGTTTTTTGTTTTTTTTTTTTTTTTGGGGGGGGTTAATTACTGTTTGGGTTTTGTCCTTGATTCCTAATTAGCTAATCATCTTATTATTCAAAATATGTTCGCAGCTAGGTTAAGGACGCCCATGAAATATACGCCTTTATATACTCAGGGAAAATGAATACAATTTTAGTATTTTTTTAACAGCAGTAGTTTTGATAAATGTGAATTGTGGTGATTGCATTTGTATATATCGGATCTCTGCTGAGTTCGGCCAAAGTGACATCGCTTACATCAGCTGTTTGTCACGTGACAGGTTTAAAATTGGACCATATATGTACTACTACAAAGATCGTAAAAGTTCAACGATATACGGGCATTCTTCCGCTATAAAATTTATTTTGTTTTCTTTGAGACAAATTCCTTAACCCGAAAAGTGCTGGGAGCAACTTCCTCATGCTTGAGAATTGTTTAAAATTTAGCCGTCTTTCTATAAACTCCAGACAAAAATGTAATACGCATTGGAATAATGTTAGATTACGGAATGAATAAACAATGTACAACCAGCTCCCAGCACTTTTCAGAATAGTAGGAATAATGGCTACATGTGTTTAAAAATTCAGAATTTATAGTAAAACGGATATCGTTGAACTTTTGATATTTTCGAGGGGCTGGACCCCTCATTCTAGCACGTTACTGTACAAATGTGCTCCCTACGGCTATATATAAAGTCTACACATTATCAATTTAGTTTGACAATAAAATGTGGATTAATATATTTCAGAATATGTCTCTCTTTTTGTCTGACTACGCATGTTTCGTATTTATTTTTATTTTTACAAGCCACGATAAAAGTTTGATCCACGCCTCAAATACAGAGAAACTGCGTGTCAAACTAAGAAATGACGTCATCTCAGTAAGTACAGCGAGATCAAGCTGGCTTTCATTCTGCATATGCTAAGTGCTATTATGGCAAGATAAGTTGCACATCCATTTATATTTATAACATTTATGAGAAACGAAAGTATTTCGTGTGTTTTAAAAAGAACATTATAGTATTTATTCATCGAGATTCATTTGTATTGTTTTAACGTGACGTCATAATAGCTCTCCCAAACCTCTGCATAGGCTGACGTAGATATGGGAGTCCTTAACCTAGCTGCGTTATAAATTAATCAGAGAGTAAAAAGTACATTTGTCAATTCAAAATAAGATTTTATGTAATTTATAAACTGATATGACGGTTTTAATCCAAATCCCCCCCCCCCCCCCAAATTGAGGTAGCATACAAACATTTTGTATTCAAGCCTGCACTAATCTACAGGACTTTCTTTCTATAAGTATGTTTATTATGTTTGTTCAATTAGAGAAGATAAAATTCAATGACAAACCTTGTCAACCTTTTTTTTTTAAACAAGGAGAAGTGCACATATAGACCCCAGTGAAATGACAAAAAAAGTTCAAATAAAGCATAACTTGTCAGGTCACACCGTTAATTGATATTTACACCATACGTCTTCACAAGTTTTGGCGCTGAATTTCATAGGAAGGTTAACAATGCCGTACGGGTCAGCTAGCATTCGGGAATTCATAAAGTAAATTGAGGACATGTATTCATTTGAAAACCTTCGTTTATTACCATCATTACCTTGTGCAAACTTGAGCAAAAGACAAAATTCTTATTATACATTCAGTAAACCTGTGTGAAATTAAAAAATTTGACATTCGTATTAAAAATATAAACATACCATGTAAGAAGTGCAAACATATGATATATAACGTGTTTTATATATATATATATATATATATATATATATATATATATATATATATATATATATATATATATATATATATATATATATATATATATATATATATATATAGTTTTGTGCCATGCGGATTGTGGGATATTTTGTGTCTTTTTCACTCACGTTGTGGGTATCATGGATGGTTTATGGGTCATTATATATTGACCCACAAACCATGTGCCTAAAAATTTGTTTATGACAATAATATAGTTACTATTTCCATTTTTTACAAAAAAAAATTTTTTGACCCATAATTACACACTCAAAAAATGACCCACAATGCAATTATATATATATGAATTCTTACCACTCTGTGGATTGGCAGAATTTCGCGCGTGACCCACAATATTTTATATACTTTCCCATGAGTATTTGGGGGATTATGGGAAACAGCAAGATTTTATAGCCTAATTGCAGTGAATCATTATCAGATTGTAACGCATTATTTATTTACATGTATGTCATGCCATGCATGTACTACATTGTATAAATCTATAAAAAAAAAAAAAATAAGGTTAAATAATTTTATAATTTTGAATCGTACGATAGTTGTGTTCTTCCTAAAGTCTATATGATTATTTAGATATAAAAGAAAGCTTCAAGTATATCATCCACAACTTAAGGATTATTCAGAAAAAAAATTATCACGCGTTAAGATTTTAGGGAAGTGTACAGTTAAAACTGCCGTAGCGCCCACTGTATTAAGCGACTCACTGTCATATGTGACCGTAAGAATTCCTCCCATCGCTTTTCCCTATATATTATACCTGTATTATCTATATCTATATATATGTACATATAAATGACCCATGATTATCCGATACATGCATTACATGTAGAACCTTGATATAGATATATAGATATATTTTTGTAATATATGTGTTTATAATATTAACACATTTATATGAGAGAAAGAGATAAAAGATTTGGGAACAAAAAAAAAATTTACGTCAAAAACGTATTGAATAAAACAAGTAATTCAAAATAGGACAATCTCTAACCATTTTACTCGCTAAATAGTCTCGAGTATTTGCTTTCATCCTCCCACGGGATGAACCTCTGCCATTCAGTCATTGAATGGTCCCTGATGGTTTGAAAAGGTGACCACTTCGCGGTTTATAAAGCGTAAACTGCCTAAACCCAGTATATATCCAACAATGTTCTTTCACTTTTTTGGATATATATGTATATCTTTATACTTATATACTATCCCACAACAATATACTCGTACTATACATTGATCCCGCAACATTATATATATGTATGTATACAAATTAATGACCCACAATTATATCACATATACCTAAATATTGAGTTATATACACTAATTAAAAAATAGATCATTAATGACATAAAATGTCTCTAAAATTTATTTTAAAATAAAAGGGTGGGTCATGATGTTGGGGTAAGAAAGATCTGCCACTTACAAACAAGTCTTAAGCATCATTTTGCTTAGTAACTTATATTATAGAGATACATTGCTTCTAGTCAAAGAGGCTTCGTTTCGGGATAGTGTATTTTGTGTATTGAGTGTTTAAATTCACTAATTATATTAAAAATCGGAAATCACTGAAATCCAGTTTTTTTTTTTAAAATCATATTTCAATGTACATAAAAAAGGGATGACACTCGACATCTTCGATACCAGGAAGTGCCTCGGTCCACATTATAAATAGGCGTCGGAACCGGGAGGGGGGTAGGGGGGTTAACCCCCCACTTTTTTGCTAAGGTATACATAACATAGGCATTAGAATTGAAAATTGAAGCTTACTTATTTTTTAAGATTTAACCCCCCCCCCCCCCTTTCAATTAGCCCCTCGCTATAATTTGCTTTTGACGCCTATGCTATACAATTATTTAATGCCTGAGCAGTCAATAGACCAGAATATTTTTCCCGAGGTGCACAGAGCAGCTGTGCCTCAGTGTGTTCTATTGTCCGAGGCCAACAGCCGAGCATTGTTTCAAATTATTGTTTACCACTGACGTCTGTGCAATGTTACATATAAATTCGAAACCCAGATCGGTTTTTCCGAAATACGTTGCGGTCCAATAGATCGCAGTATATTGACCGGCAGTTCAATAGATCGGTTTCAAAAAGTAAGATAACTTAAATGAAAAATTACATTAATTTTTAGGGACCTTGTAGAAAAGAGTTATCCGTAGTAAAGTATAAAAACAAAGGCATGAAAATAAGTATGAACTTCGCCAGTAAATTGTTAACGTACTGAAATCTAATAATTATTATACAATTATTGCTGGCTTTTGAGGTCAATATGATGATTTAGACACCTGAGGAGTACAATATTCACCGAGCCCGAAGGGCGATGTGAATATTGTACTTCGAATCGAAGGTGTCTAAATCATCGTATTGACCGAAAAAAAGCAATAATTGTTTTATCATATGATTCAATGATTAAATGACACGCATTCATTAACCAATCCATGCCATCTTACATAATGTACTCGTTCACATCTACTGAAGTACTAGCCAAACATAATGAGAGAAACGGGGTTAAAAAAACAACATTGTATTATTCTAGAATTTTTAATTCTAGTTTAGGTGCAATGTAGAAAAAATAAATGTCAAGCACATATATAGGATTGATTTTGAAAAAGGGGGTATTAAAGGGGAAAAAAAATAACAACTTACCTGAAAACAAATCTTTGACTACCCCCCCCCCCCCAAAAAAAAAAAAAAAAAACAAACAAAAAAAAAAAAAGAAAAGAAAAAGAATTCGCAGCAGTGTTAAGGCGTACTTCGAAGAAATCAACGGAATATAAACGTGCATAAAAACATACCTTTTTAAACTGATTTTATTTTTGTAAAGGTACTATATTATCACATGACTTTAAATATTATTTGAAATAACATTGTATACACCGCTCTGTAATGAATTTGGTTTGGTCACGTTATTTGACAGTCACGTGATAAATGCATATAATGTGTACTGTATGTAGGTCACAAACAAATTTTTGATATCGCAAGGGCATACCCTAGTTAAAATT